ACACTATCCTCAAATTGATTTTTAGGATTAGAAGTACAGAGTTCTTGAAATCTTTTCAGTCCTGTCGTCAAGACCGATAAAAACAACCAAGGACCAATTACTTTGCGTTCTGTGTCCCCCCAAATGACCGGTAAATGTTGACAGAGGAACTTGTGAAAATCTGACAAAATTTCGTACCAATTACATGTACCGTCCTATCGTAATCTTTCAAACTCTTTTCTAACTTGTAATGGCTTGTTCCATGAACGCAAGTGTCAAACTATGATTGTTAGACTGATAAAACAGGTTATTGAGGATGCTACGGTAAGCCAAGTGAGAAAATCAAACTAGATTAAAAACATATGAAGAAAATCGACCCTGAGATAATTCAGTATTTTTTGAAATATCTAAAAATTCTACCTCCTCTATTAATATCGAAAAATTCTACCTCCTCTATTATATAGAGGGGGTAGAATTTTGCGATATTTGGCTTTTTTAGCAACTTACTAATAAAAATTCAGGTGCCTGTGGTTCTTGAGGATCTTCATGATGTTAGCTTAGCTGCAGAACTGTAGCTCTCTGAAAAAATATATATTAATTGATAGACCGGAGAGCTACAGTGCCACCCATTGAAAAAATTGTATATTTATTGCACACAGAAAAGTGCGCTCGGTTCTGGATTAATTCTTCCAAATTCTTACCTCAATTGCAAAAAACAGATTTTAATAAAGTCCTTAATCCTCTATCGATTACTTTCATAGTTTACATCTGTACGAAGCTCGTTGGACCGAATTATCCTGAAAACCAAAACGGCAGTGTAAATAGGCGAAATTTTTGATGATTTTAATTTCAGGGCCAGGAGGTCTATTAACAACAATTATAAGGAATGTTTTGTTGTGGAAACAGTGAAAGAATATGTTAGGAACACAACATGCACAAGGTTAGTAATATTTTGAGATGACAGTTTTAAAAACATGGGAGAAATAAATCAAGAAACAGCGCACTTTTATGTGCGCAATAAATATACAGTTTTTTTCAATGGGTGGCACTGTAGCTCTCCGGTCTATCAATATATATTTTTTCGGAGAGCTACAGTTCTGCAGTTAGCTCAGATTTTAATAACCAGAACAGGATTATGGTACTACATAAACTGCAAACTCATGTGGTATAATCAAATACATACCTGACTTTCACAACAAATACAAGGTCTGTTTCATGTGTTTGGGCGACCGTTCACTGATAAATCTGTCTCAGGAAATGTTGCGTGGTAAATGCGTGCCAGAGGAATATGCTATAAAATGAAAGTAGGAGTTCGAACCCGATTTTTTATTTTAAAAATGCTTTACAAGGGTTAAAAAATGCATTATTATTTATCAGAGTCTTAAAAGAGGAGTTATATATAAACCTGATATTATGTACCTGTATACACTTTGCTTTTTCAGAACAAGAACAATAGTTTAACAAAATCATTGATATCCGGAATTTAATGTTTTGTTGTAAGATTCTGTATACTAGATCATATATTTTATATCCGGTTTGAACCATGGTCAGTTTGGGAACGGACTCGCGTCAAACTGGGGTATTTTACAATTTTATATTTCATTTATTTTATATATTACGTTCTAAACTAGAAATTAATTAGATTTTACACAAAGAAAAAATTCTGAATACATGAGAATAGTCCTAGTAGTCGGACTAGGTCAATCCACTTTTGACAAAAGCACAGAGGCTAGTTCCCGGCATGTACAGCAGTGATTTTTCTACAATTTTTAAAAGGTGCCTGGGCCTTTTCAATTGCGAAAAATTGTCGACATTTGTGTCAAATTGGGAAAAACAATAAGATTGTAATTAACCTTCATATTGACGAGGAAAGTAAACAATCTAGTCGAACCCTCAGACGGGGGTATACCCTCAAACACACAAGAAAGTGTCGAAAAATAATAAACAACATGCTAATTACACAAGATTTTTAATACCGGGGAAGGGGATTATATGTAGTTCAACTTTAAACAAACAATTGTTTGTTTATTCATCTGTTTAATTAAATTATGAATAAAAAATCTAGTTGTATCAAGCGTGGAGGTCAAGGCACAGAATACGCTAACTTTGGGAGAGAAAAATTCTCGATTTTTGCAATAAACATATACTTTTTCGCAATACAATCTCTTTAAACATCTTTAATCTACCAAATTTGAGTACATACAAAGCTACGAAATAATCCATCACTTTGCACGAGCATATTTTGTGGACCACACATTTTTCCATGAAAAACGGCACTTTTTTAGTGTCTGCGCATGCGCCGCACCCCCGTTTGAAGGTACGGTTTTCCTATTTCCGTTTACCCCCGTTTGAAGGTTCGACTAGACTGGTAAATGTAATATCATTTATTAAATTTATTTGCTACAAAATTTCTTCAACAAAATACTGAAAATAGACCTAGACACAGTTCTACATTTTTAATTTTCTTTCATTTTTGTTCATAATGATTGTCCCATATTCCATTTTTTGCCATAATGGTAGACATAACTGAGAAAAATCATTCAGGATTTCTTTTTATTGCTCGAATTGGAGATGGAATAATCTTGACATGATTTATTTTACAAGCATGCATTGCTGTATTTCTCTGCAATTCTAGTATCTGCAGGATGAAGAAACAGTTTAATTTTCATGAAATCAAGGAAGCTTGTTGTAGAACTACTAGTACTTGCAATTTACAAAAAAAGCTATGTTTAACCGATTCACATGCATATTAAATTTCTTACGATGTATTGACACACAAGTTTGACATCCACATGATCGATGTGTTTTTCCAAGTCATGCAAACACACAAATAAACAGTTGTTTTTCGCCATTATAAATTCCAAATGACCAAAAACAATAGCGTTCCATTTTAGATAAGTCGTACATAGAAAATTCAATATAACCAAAACAATACATTTTGATTTTGGGAAAAAAACAGTTGAAAATTGGGAAAAAAAATAGTAATTTTTGAGAGGGGAAAGGGCAGATACACAGGAAGGTTAAGGTTACAAACAAATATTCTACTTGCCTATAAGATATGACGTCATAGTAAGCTATATGACATGAAGTTAAGAGATAACAATTTCTTATAATCTATATCTAAGATTGATATGAGGTCGTAAAAAATTAATCAAAATATGCAGAGGCATAGTACAAACAGAATTTTGTTGTTTCTGGGTCTCTGTAGTTATCACAGGGGTTAAATACCAAACCCGTGACGTCATAACTGTTGATCATGCAGTAGCAGAGAGAAAGTGAAATGTAATGAGAATTCTTGTAAACAAACACAAGAAATCGGAGTTTAAAAGCATTTAGAATGAATATCATGTGTGATTCATGTGGGAATAAAGCGTATGAATAAGGTATGGTAATATACTTCTACAAATTCTTCGTAAAATTAAAGCAGGGAGGGTGTTTACTTGCCGATCAGCCTTTCCTCTGTCGTTCGTAACAAATAAGATGCAAAAGTTCAACACTACGCCGTACACTTTGAAACTTAGTTTTTGTTTCTATCTAAAATTCTTATTCTATTGTTTTTGGAATTTGCTGCTAGAATCGTATGGTTTACGGGAATTAATGCATTTTTTTCGATGTTATGAACAAAATGTATAAATTTTTGGAAGATTTCGTCCGAAAGTGTTGAATAATTATTTCTATGATAGGACAGTACGATTCTAGCAGCACTTTTCAAGGTACAGAGATGTTTTTACATAATTATTATTACAAATGGAAATTAATTATCCCCGGGGTAGTGTTGAACTTTTCACTTTTTCATTAAGGCATATTTTCTAATTATAGACGTCACGTGGTGACGTCGTGGTGAAGTGCTTCATGTAGTATAAGTCCCATTGAAGTCTATAGAATGGATAATTATAACAAAAGTTTTATTCTTGACTTTTCCGATTTATTAGTGTTACATAATTATAAAAAAGTGTTAATTCGCCGAATTCTGGTCCATGTGCTGCCTTAACATACCCGCGTATTCAGACCTAAATTGAGTGTAGAAAAATCACTGTACAGTGAAACTTGGTTATTTATTTATTTATTTTATTTTACCAGATTTATATAGCACTTTTTTCATAGACATGTTCAAGAGTGCTTTACAACAAACAAGATATAGCAAATACAATACAGTGTTTCAAATCGAAATTAAAAACAATAACTCTACCTAAGAATAACATAGACAATTATATATTTAAAATTCTAATAAGACTATCAGAATTAATTAAGCACAGATATAACATAAAATAAGATTAAGGCTACTTAATACAAGTTTCGATGAGTTTGTAATTAAAAATTTATATTACTTTAAAATAGAAAATTTTAAGAACGATTAAAAATTAGGTTATAAAGTTTACATGAAAAAAACATAGCAGAAAGTAAAAACTTAAAAATATCACATTTTAGCACCACTTCCTACTCAATATATCCAATGTTTTTTGATTGTTAATACCTCCAGTTACTCAACATAATAGGAGCGGAAAAGATGTGTTTTAAGCTGTCTTATGAAAGCGTTAAGTGTCTGGGCGTTTCTAACTGATTCTGGCAGTGCGTTATAACAAAATCACTAGGACCTATGAAATTTTTTCGCAATATCAGTAATAAGAAATTCGTTAAATTTATATTGCCGGGGATCCAAGTGTGGCAGTCAGCCAGATTCGATCACTGGTGGCTGGATAGCTCAGTTGGTAGAGCACCTGACCAGAGTTTCATGGAGCCAGGTTCAAATCCCGGTCTGGTCCGCTGCATTTTCTCCTCTCCTGTTACATTTGGTTCTGTGCCATGCCCTTGATTTGTGGATTTGATAGGTGGAAAACCTGTCAACCAGATTCAACCTGCTAGGGATGAGCCTGGGTTGGCCGGGGTCTTTGGAGGGCAAAAGTCTTTATGGAGGGAGTAATGTGACAGTCAGCCAGATTTGATGGCCGGGGGCTGGATAGCTCAGTTGGTAGAGCACCTGGCCAGAGTTTCAGGGGGCCCGGGTTCGAATCCTGGTGTGGTCCGCTGCATTTTCTCCTCTCCCATTACACAAGAAAACTTTGCTATTTCCGTTAATCACAATATCTGTGTTCGAACTGAACAAGTTTAGCTGTAATGATTATTTATTTAAAAAGACATGGACAGTAATTCTAAAACAACAGTTACACAAGGGAGGACAACATTTTGGACCCCTTCCTTGCTTTAACCTCTGTTTTCGTTATGTTTTCCCGTATTTTACTGACTCACCACCCTGGATCTGTCAACTAATGATTCTATTTTAGACTAATAATAGTCCAAACACACTCTTTAAGACAGTAAAGGGGACAGAATACCAAAACCTCAGGGTTTTTCTACTAGTTAAAACAGCTGCTAATGAATTATAAATTGGGGGGGGGGGGGGGCGCATTATAATTCCGTATTAGAATGTAAAATGCCTAGGTTACTTTTACTTTCTGTCATAATAAACTGCTCTAAAGAGCAGTGAACTGTAGATGCTGGGACACTAATTTTACCTCTTTCTTTACCTTTTCAGGTTTACTTTCTCCTCTAGCACTGCAGTGTCTAGGAAGGTGACTGAGAGCAGTGGGAGTGTGACATTAGTTTTAGTGTATCTTTTCACCTTTTAGGGCTATTTCTTCCATGACCACAGTAGTGTACTGGAAGGTGTCTTGGAGACAAAGAATTGTAAATTCTGTGACACAAGCTTTAGTCTCTTTTTATATTTTCAGGGCTATTTCTTCCATGACCAGAGCAGTGTACAGAATAGTGACACTAGTTTAATCTCTCTTTATATTTTCAGGGCTATTTCTTCCATGACCACAGTAGTGTTCAGGTCAGTGACCGGAAGACAGTGAATTGTAAATTCTGTGACATAAGTTTTATTCTCTTTATATTTTCAGGGCTATTTCTTCCATGACCACAGCAGTGTACAGGATAGTGACCGGGAGGATCTCCTCTCCGAGTCCCCCACCCTCTCTGCCAGCATTGATCCACCATACAGAAAAATCTACACAACGTGGGCGGCAGGGCTGGAGATTCTTATCATTGTAAGATTATCATCATAAGCTATACATCAGTGTATCAACACATTTACAGTGCATAATATAAGTAGAGATGTAACATATGGAGTTCAATACAGGACACTGTGTATTAGAGATGTTTTATATAATATACCAGCTCACACTGAGTATACATGGTAAAGAAATGTTCAGATTACATAGAGACTATTAAATTAAATAGAGATTCATCAAATTATTACAGCACAATGTGTATAGAAAAGTTTATATTATACACACTGAGATTCTCTAGAGGTCCGTTATATTGTAATACACACTAATACAATGCAATGTGAAAAAATTTTAATAATTATTTAATTTAATAAAAAAAAATTATTGCAAAATATTGTTGTTTTATGCATATGAAATTGTTAGAGACAAGTTTTATGTTAGAAATTTCTTTATGTGTAAATTAATTAAAAAGTATTGTCAACTCCATTTCTTTGTAATCTTGATTAATATGATGATGCTAATGAAATCATATACTCTTTAACATTTACAGATTGTCGTAGAAGTATGTGTTTTTTTCTATTTTGACAGATTGTCGTAGAAGTATGTGTGTTTGTGATTCCTTTAAGAGGGGTATGTACTGAGAATGTGTGTACCGACCTTTCAGTATTATGCTATATACATGGGGGGCTGTGGTTCGTGATTCTACTGTTTGATTTCTTCTATCGAGTCCAACACAACAAAAATAGGAAGCTGGGTTACCTGGAGTTTTACAGAAAAACTCGTCACATTCGTCGAGCTCCATTACTGGTCAACTCAGCAGGTGAGATTCATTGTTAAACAAAAATTGACCTATGAACGTGTGCATACTTACCTGGTAAACATGAGCGTGTGCCTAAGTAATGGTAGTCTTACAGAGTGCTTTAGAGGTCTTTCTGTTCAGTTTACTGAAATTTCTCACGTTTAACTTAATTTGAAGAAATATGTAGGATGTTTTCTGTGGAAAACCCTAATTACTGTAAATATACTATATGTGTACTTAAAATAGCGGGCTTCATATTTTATCAGATTAAGTGCAAACAACAATGCGCTAATTCATGAATACTAGTAAAAAAAAAATTTATACAGTGTAAGTAGAATAAACAGTACAAAAATGTGTAGCACTAATTCATGATTATGCCAACAACTCAGTATCCATTGATTGCGCTAAATTTTGAATAGGCAAAATTATGTACACACACAGTATAACATTTAGAGTTCTATTCTATTTAGCGATTATGGTGGAAAGCATAGTCTGCTAAATCAAGTAAAATGTTTTATGTCTAATGCATTCAGATAGCGCTAAATCAGACCTATATGCTAAGTTGTGGAAAAAATCAATTTCTGCCAAATATCATACATGTCAAATATTGTACGAGGGTCATTCAAAAAGTTCGTAGACTTTTGTCCTAACTTTTTTATTTAACGTCATATTATATCCAGATTTGGTACAAATATTTTAACAACAGATTCAAATAATTTGAGTAAAAAAATTGGAATGTATCCTCATATTTATTAAAATTACCAAGGATTTAGAACAGCAAAAATGGGGTCACGGAGCACCGTCAAAATTGAGTAATTTTCTAATTTTCACTTTATAGTATTTACAGCTATACCTCTAATAAATGGAGCTGAAACGAAATAAAATTTACATGTTTAAATAAAGTATTGCTGTATTAATTAAAATGAAATCAGGTTATGTAATATCTCGTTCCATTTAAAAGATATCAGCTTCTAAATACATATGGACTTGATTAAAAAAGGCAAAAAACCGTGACGTTGGAGGACGTCACGGAGCAGCAAGTAGCAATAAAATTAGACTTTACATTCAGGAAACTTTTTCTACAAGCTTAAAAAATCCTTATAAATCAGGATCTGTATGAAAAAAAAATCTGTGTATTTGTATTAAGTTGAAAATACAATTTTTGAGTGGTAGCGAGTTTGAATCGGACGATGGATTGTCTGCAAAGAAACAGGTTTAAATTAAAAATATTGTCAAAAGAGTTAGGAACGTCATTGAACGTGATGTGTGCTTCAATGTTGCAGAAATATTAAAGTTACATGGTAAATCAAAGAATTTGAAAACAATAACACTCTAATTCAAGCTATAATTGTACAATTGTTAGCAAACCAGGTGTTAAGTATTGTGGATATGTGTTTTGAATGGAGAAGACGCAACAAACCGTGTTTGAAATAACAAAAATGTGTATACTTTTGACAAACTTTCTCAGCGTAGTGTTTGACGTTATAATATTGCTTAACCGTGCTCCGTGGTAACAAGACATGTTGCTTTTAATTTTGGCTAACGTGAGTTCTGTTAAATCAAATGGAATGAAACTTCACACTTCGACAAAATAAATGTTTATGTTTACGAAAATGTGTTGATCTATAATCTTGTAATAATCATATGACGATGAGAAGCATTGTCTACGTATTTTTTGAATGACCCTCGTACATTTACAGTATGGCATTTCTTCTCCAATCTTTGTAATTATATTGACTCTTTCAACTAACAATTTGTAGTCTTCAAAGAATTGACTTTTTTTCATTTTATTAATTAGGCCAAACAAAAAAATAACTTTGTTTACTGTTACATGCTGAAATAAAATAGAGTCGGTAGGTAGGATTTTTTTTTTATTTTATTGAATTTTTTTTATACACAAATTCACATGAATTGGTTGAATTACAAAACAGTTTTACCATGTACCGTGCCTTAATTTTGTTTGGGCTTGTAATATGGGTGGTAGACAATATTATCTTTCTTGCCAACTGCCTTACAACTCAGGGGTGTGCAATTAAAAAAAAATCAAGTACTTACCCACGGGCTTGTAACAACAATAAAGTTATTAGTCCGAAGTTAAAAGTGACCAGTCCAAATATTGGGGCAAAAAACTGTAAAAACTAATATTAAAAAAGTTCATAGTTGAGAAAGCTAGGGCCGAATTTTATGACGAAAAAACAGTTTGGGTCGGCGATTGAATTAGGGTCGGTCGGGTAACCGTAAACAAACATATTTTTTTGTTACGCCTTAGCACTAATAATTTCTTTTAATTTACGTGCAGTTCAATCTCTCTTTTATTCAGCGAATGCCATCCTGGTGATTGTTCTGTGTCTGTACGGTAATCTAGAAAACAATAATAAGGACCAGAGACTGGGTCTTCAGATTGGAATATCAGTAGAAATGGCTGCCATCTTAGTTGTCCTAGTGTGGTATATGGGTAAGTTTTAGTAACTGTTAGAAATGGCTGCCATCTTAGTTGTCCTAGTGTGGTATATGGGTAAGTTTTAGTAAGTGTTAGAAATGGCTGCCATCTTAGTTGTCCTAGTGTGGTATGTGGGTAAGTTTTAGTAAGTGTCAGGGCTGTGAATGATAATGTAATTTGAATGAAACCTTTTAATTACACGTGGGCTTAAACTTTCAACCTCATGAATGGGAAGAAATCAAATTTTACTTTTTTATTGCTAGTAAAGGTTTGTTGTTAGGTTTGTCCTGATCCCAGGACCAGTCTAAGACTTGATTAAAAATTTCAGACAGTCATAAGTTAGTAATTCTTATATACTCGGGTACTTATGCATAAAAATTTAAATGCACAGTATGTCTGGGCAAGAATTTTGAAGAACATTAAAATTTCATGCCTATTCTATAAATTAACTTTAAATACATGTTTTTTCTATACATGTAATTGATTTTAAAGAAAACTATTTTTGTGAAGAGTATGTTTGACCATCGTTGCAAGCCATGGGTTAATTGTCCATTTGTTTGTGGAAATGGAATAAACACAAAACTTGTGGCTTGGAACGATGATGTTTGACATGCTTCTTTCTACTTGTAGTGATGTCTGTAAACTTTAACAAAAGCCAAATAGGACCCGATGTGGTTAGAGAGGACATGATGAACAGCTTCCTTCAAAACAGTGTCACCTCCGAGATTGGATTCAAGTAAGTCTACAATTACAAAACAATGTCAACTCCGTAATAGGATTCAAGTAAGTCTACAATTACAAAACAATGTCAACTCCGAAATAGGGTTCAAGTAAGTCTACAATTACAAAACAATGTCAACTCCAAAGTAGGATTCAAGTAGGCCTACAGTAGGCCTACAATTACAAAACAATGTCCCCTCTGAAATAGGATTCAAGTAAGTCTACAATTACAAAACAATGTCACCTCTGAAATAGGATTCAAGTAAGTCTACAATAAAACAATGTCACCTCCGAAATAGGATTCAAGTAAGTCTACAATTAAACAATGTCACCTACGAAATAGGATTCAAGTAAGTCTACAATTACAAAACAATGTCACCTATGAAATAGGATTCAAGTAAGTCTACAATTACAAAACAATGTCACCTACGAAATAGGAGTCAAGTAAGTCTACAATTACAAAACAATGTCACCTACGAAATAGGAGTCAAGTAAGTATAGGTCATATCAGTGTCACTGTACAGAGAAACAAGTACAAAACTGTCAGATCCGAAATAGGATTCAAGTAAGTCAAATCATGATCAGTGTCACTTCACTAGACAGAGAAAAATAAAATGGCGTTATTTCCATCATTAATTAATAATATCATATGGAAGACCTAGAGAATATGCCATCTTCAAGCTGCTTTATTTACTTTAATAAGCCTGCAAAAATAAATGAAGTAAAAATAAAGAAATTTAGAAATTAATAATAAAGATAAAACAAGAAGGCAAAAGTAATCATGAACAAAACAGTATGTTTCTTTACACAATGAATTATTAGAAATCTGAATCGCATTTGCTTTTAATTTTATGACAGTTACTCTGACCAGGTTAGGGTTAGGGGTATCTAACACACTGTTTTATAATCCATTCTTTCTCTACAGAGATGATAGTTATTCGGACCAGGTTTTGGAGAGGCAGGCAGACATGATTCGATATCTCAAGCAACACAACTCACAGCTGGCAAAACGCCTTCTGGCACTGACAGAAGAGAACAACACGCTGAAAGCCAATAGCTGAGATCAACACAAACAGCTGTCAACCAATCAAAACAGAGCTCTTATGTGGGAACAGTGCAATGTGATTTTCTTTATGCTTGAGTCTGTGTCAGCCACCTGATATTTCCAATCCAGTATTATCAACTGTAGACGTCAGTGTTGTGTGGTTAAAGTTAGCAGTCAGTGATCATAGGAGACAAACTTATGGTTTCACAAGTGTTGCCATCTCTACTGAATTGTGCTTATAACTTAATTTATAATTCAATGATATCATTCCCCTTTCATATTACTGCTGTACATGTGTCCTAATTTTGTGTTTTTACTTTTGTCTGACTACTTATACACTTACTTAAAATAAGATTTATTAGTATTAAATCATACACAAAAATATGATGTGTACTTGAATTTAGAAATTGCTTATAAATGGTTTCTAACTGTCCATTTCAAAGGTAACAGTCATATTCTTTTAAAATACATACACTAACACTGCATTTGGTACTGTAGCCATTTTGTTGTCCATCCCAATTTTTAGAGATCAGTGAGCTACAGATCTGCACCCACTGGGACATAAGCTTAACATGTTTAAGCTGGGGATAAGGTGTTCATACATCAATTTAGATAAAACTCATGCTATTCTATTACTTTTAAGACCTGGCACCTGTTCAGGTCTTTCAGACTTAGTTAGAGTTACTTATAAATTACATTGTGTAAATGCATTTGAAATTGTCTCAATTTATGGTCTTTAGGCCATGCTTTAGGGCCATAAGACAAACTCCCTTTGATCTGAGTCTTACTTTTCTACTATAATTAATTCCTTTGGTAAAAGTGAGACTAAGATAAATCAAAGTACTCAGAAGTACAGATAGCCGGGCTCATTTACAGAGTAGAATGAATTTACAGAGTAGAATGAATTATTTTAAAACTATCAATATAAATGATAAGACAACACTGACAGTGAGTTTTTCAATCCTAGTACCACGGTCCGATTTTGTCAGAATCAGAATTAATCTGGTACCGCAGCTTAATGTAAACAAACAGGCCAGTCTGGTTCCCTCTCCTACTTTACCTCGTATGTGTAGAGAACTACGCTACCACTGATTATCAAAAATCCTTACGCTAATGAACTACATGTACCGGTATGTTCTTTGACTTAGGACTGATGTTTTCAGAGTCATTACTACTAATGTTTATTTATATAGATGAAACTTCGTATCATTTTTGTTGCTTTATTTAGCGTTTGCATTATCTCAAAAGCGGTTGAGAGTAAGAACTATATTTTTGCACGTAACTTTAAAATGGCGACTATGGGGTCGACATCCTGTGTTGAACAGGATCACATAAGGCGGCAATTGCTCTTTGAGCAATAAGCCCGGCTAAAAAGGACCTCGTCTTAGTTTTATGGCCCCAGAGCTGGGCTCCTCCACAGTGGCAATTTAAGAAGACATGCATACTCCAGTTCTTTGTCAAAATTACATTAATATTTAGAATTAAATTCACAGAAATCTGGATGAAGATTTTGAAATTTATTACATATACAGGTATAGCTCTAACAAATTATTATTGCACTTGATCATTGTTGATAAATACTAATTAAACATTCATAAAGACATACATATCAACACAAAATTAAGCTAGAGATCATGTATTATTTAAAACTAAAAATTGGTTGTGCTAGTCTCGTTCAAATTCTATGTGTGTGAGTAAAGGAATTAACTGGTCCGCGATGGATTGATTACAGGCAGCTAACACCTGTCTGCTCAGGAAATCAACATCTCTCCCTATAACAAAAGTGAAAGTAATCAAATGTTGTCATGTGATCAATAAAAAAGAAACAAGAAGACTGAGTAACCTGAGGGACCTTTTAAGGAGACTGGTGGGTCAACAAATTAATCCCAAATTAACCACCAGATTTAACTCATTTTTTTAGCTACGGTATCTTTAGCTATCAACTATCATATGGCAAAGAAAAAATTCATACTTTTTAGTTTAAAAATTTGATCATTTTTGTATATCTTTATACAGGTCTGGACGATTTCCAAATATGGAAGTCAAGAACGATAACCGAAAGTTGCTATAAATGTACATTTGCTACACATAATTATTTTTCTGTCCAATCAGACAACAGCATTTTTACACACCCCAAAACATATTTTAAAAGAACAACAAGAGGCCCATGGGCCACATCGCTCACCTGAGAAGCTTTGACCATTCCGTACTTTACCAGATTTCCCCCTTGTAATACATTATGTATCCCCACCCTACCCCACTGATCATAATTAAGACATTTTTGAAATCAACTACCCCAGGATCCTTCCATGTGCAAATAAGTTTCAGCTTTTCTGGCCCGGTGGTTCTTGAGAAGAAGATTTTCAAAGATTTTTCCTATATATTTTTATGTAAAACTTTGATCCCCCCATTGTGGCTCCACCCTTCCCCTGGGGGGTCATGATTTGAACAATTCAAAATCTACATTACCCAAGAATGCTTCCAAATAAGTTTCAACTTTTCTGGCCCGGTGGTTCTTGAGAAGAAGATTTTCAAAGATTTATCCAATATATTTCTATGTAAAACTTTGATTACCAATTGTGGCCCCACCCTTCCCCCGGGGTCATGATTTAATTTAGAATCTACACTATACCAGGATGCTTCCACATAAGTTTCAGCTTTTCTGGCCCAGTGGTTCTTGAGAAGAAGATTTTCAAAGATTTTTCCTATATATTTCTATGTAAAACTTTGATTCCCCATTGTGGCCCCGCCCTTCCCCCGGGGGTCATGATTTGAACAATTTAATATCTACACTACCCTAGGATGCTTTCACATAAGTTTCAGCTTTTCTGGCCCAGTAGTTCTTGAGAAGAAGATTTTCAAAGATTTTTCCTATATATTTCTATGTAAAACTTTGATTCCCCATTGTGGCCCCGCCCTTCCCCCGGGGGTCATAATTTGAACAATTTAGAATCTACGCTATCCCAGGATGTTTCCACATAAGTTTCAGCTTTTCTGGCCCAGTAGTTCTTGAGAAGAAGATTTTCAAAGATTTTTCCTATATATTTCTATGTAAAACTTTGATTCCCCATTGTGGCCCCGCCCTTCCCCCGGGGGTCATGATTTGAACAATTTAATATCTAAACTACCCTAGGATGCTTTCACATAAGTTTCAGCTTTTCTGGCCCAGTAGTTCTTGAGAAGAAGATTTTCAAAGATTTTTCCTATATATTTCTATGTAAAACTTTGATTCCCCATTGTGGCCCCGCCCTTCCCCCGGGGGTCATAATTTGAACAATTTAGAATCTACACTACCCTAGAATGCTTTCACATAAGTTTCAGCTTTTCTGGTCCAGTGGTTCTTGAGAAGAAGATTTTTTAATGACCCCACCCTATTTTTGTCTTTTCTTGATTATCTCCCCTTGCGAGGGGATATGTCCCTTCATTTTAACAATTTAAATTCCTCTTCACCCAAGGATGCTTTGTACCAAGTTTGATCAAAATTGGCCCAGTGGTTCTTGAGAAGAAGTCGAAAATGTGAAAAGTTTACAGACGGACAGACGGACAGACAGACAGACAGACGGACGGACGACGGACAAAATGTGATCAGAAAAGCTCACTTGAGCCTTCGGCTCAGGTGAGCTAAAAAGATAACATGTGCTTTTGTTTTTTTCCCTAAAAAGATTTTTTAAACAAAACATTTGTAGAAGTAATATGAAAACTTTTGAAGAATAAGGTATTCCCCACATATTTACCGTGAACAACCTTGATTTTATCCCGCTAAAGAAAATAAATATGCACGATAGAATGTAATCGTTGAATTAGTACTGAGGGATAGCACCAGCAAATTCCTATCAAGTTCAATTATAACATTTACCAGAATAAATTATATGTTGGTAAATATAATTTTGTTTAACCATCCGATTTTCATCGACAATGCCTAAATTCCACGTGTATAGATCAACTCATGAAAGTGTTAATCATATGGACTATTCACATATACATGTAGTTTCAATCATCACGGGTTTCATGAGCGCCGAATACTAAGCTATGCAGACTTTATATGGGCATAAGGAAAGGTGTACACGTATAACGTGGAGAAAAGAGAATAACTAAGTATCGTAATTACATGTATACATGAATGCGTTTTATCCCAATGTCTTACCTCGCATATCAGAAACTGCATTGACTATTTTGTAAAAAAAGACACTCAAAAAATTAATAAAGACTGATATCTATTCGATAAGATTTTTATGTCAGGCTCTAAAAACTGAAAATTTTCCTTATTTATATCAAATTTTTAACGTAAGTTAAACTTTTGGGATTGCTACCTCTAGTGACAGATTTTTTTTACTTAAAACATATTATAAGCTTTCAAGTCGTGTTTGTTCAGGGTAGAATTGTCATAAATATTATATTATTCCCAAATGCGCATAAAGTTTACAAAAAGTTTGTTTTAAAAAAATCTTTTAAGCAAAAAACTTATAAACCACGTGTTTTATTTATTTCCTCATGGGTTTGTCTAAATACTGTTATCTGATTGGTCAGAAGGGCTAGCGCCTTGTTTATTCCGTGTATTAATAGCAATTCACAGTTATCGTTCTTGACTTCCTTATTTAGAAATCGTCCAGACCTGTTATATGGAGCTTTTCTTTTAAAGGAGATTGAAATAGTCTAAAAATGGCTGGCACCCCCCCCCCCCCCCCAGCCTCTTTAACTCTTGAGACATATTTATTACATGTTGAATGAAAAGGTAGCATAAAATGTAGGAGGTACCTGAAAAGATGCTATGAGTAAACAATGTGTTTAAGTTACCTCAGGGGTCATTAGATAGTTAGGAGAAAAACAGAATGTGTTGACATTACCTGAAGGGTCATTGGATAGTTAGGAGTAAAACAGAATGTGTTGAGGTACCTGAGGGGTCATTGGATAGTTAGGAGTAAAACAGAATGTATTGAGGTACCTGAGGGGTCATTGGATAGTTAGGAGTAAAACAGAATGTATTGAGGTACCTGAGGGGTCATTGGATAGTTAGGAGTAAAACAGAATGTGTTGAGGTACCTGAGGAGTCATTGGATAGTTAGGGGTAAAACAGAATGTGTTGATGTTACCTGAGGGGTCATTGGATAGTTAGGAGTAAAACAGAATGTATTGAGGTACCTGAGGGGTCATTGGATAGTCAGAAGTAAAACAGAATGTATTGAGGTAATTGAGGGGTCATTGGATAGTTAGGAGTAAAACAGATTGTGTTGATGTTACCTGAAGGGTCATTGGATAGTTATAAATAAAACAGAATGTGTTGAGGTACCTGAAGGGTCCAACAAGAGGCCCCCTGCTTCAGTAAATATTATCCCAGCTGCAGCAAAGTCCCAGATGTGAATGCCATACTCAAAATAGGCCTCCCCACTTCCTGAAGCAACCATACACATATTGACAGCGGCAGAACCCAGCATACGTACCCTAAAGTGAACAAAAATAATTAACAGAGTAGCCATACAGAACCCAGCATACGTACCCTAAAGATGCACAAAAAATAATATACAGAGTATCCATGTATATCCTCGATAGACAATGCTGACAAGGCTACTCTTACCCTGTGAATTGTACACAATATCTGATGAAACAACTACTACCTACCCATGTGAGGCCTCCACCACTTTGTGGACATTCTTCATCTTTGTTGACAGTATCTGTGAATCTCTAGAATTCCCAGCCTCAGTTATAATAACGGACTTCTTAAGATCTAGAAAAAAATGGAAAAGTTAAACAGCAAAATTACAAAAGTAAAAGACTGTGTAGGGGTATTAAAACTAGAATTTTGAATTTTTTTCCCTCCATGAAGTAGAATTTGTTCTATGAAATACTAATGAATAAGGGAAACTTTATCCTTGAGAACAGTGCAGCTTCAAATTGATTAAAATGCACCTTCATACTTTACGTTTTCAAAGAATACTTTTTCTAAAGATAAGGGTGACAATTAACATACACTGACCTTTGACCTTGGAGACTGTTATTTTCTGTTTGTTACAATAAGCTCCGCCCCCTCTGGATGCTGAGTACGTCTGTCCTGTTACAGGAAGATGTACAACCCCTACCACCATCTGTGATATATAACACAAAAAATGTACCCCAGTACTGTAACACTTGTTAAATAAGATATAAGGAAAATAGTCATGCAGTCAAATGAATTGAACAGATGCATAAGGAATAAGAAAAACAGTGCAGCCTCATATTCCTTCAGAGAAATTTTATGAGTTTTGAGATACAATTTTTGTAAATTATTGTATCCTTTAGTAGCTTTAATGGACAAACTTATACATACAAAGGTTTTAGCAATTAGGAATGTTGTGTACAAAGTTGGCTGTTCCATCAATGTAACTTAACTATTTCTTAATGGACAGACCAATACAAACACAGGTCTGGGGAATGTTGTGTACAAAGTTGGCTGTTCCATCAATGTAACTTACCTCTCTCTTAATAGACAGAAAAATACAAACACAGGTCTGTGGAATGTTGTGTAAAACGTTGGCCGTTCCATCAATGTTACTCACCTCTCTGTTAATAGACAGACCAATACAAACACAGGTCTGAGGAATGTTGTGTACAAAGTTGGCTGTTCCATCAATTGGATCAATAATCCAGGTTGGTGTGTCGGTCCATTCTACTTTCTTCCCTTCTGCTGTGGATTCCTCCCCAATAAACCTGGTATTAAAAAACCATGGAATCAAATTACAGACTGATTTATTTTAGTCAACTCAAGTAGAGTATGATGAGTTAGATAATTTAGAAAAACTTAATACAAAACTGTACGAGTAAAATACTCCTACAGTAAGATTTATGTATGTAGTCTGTCATGTTAAACACGGCTTATTTCTTTTACAACCCTTTCACACAATTAAGTTGGATGTTTTCACTTCTTTTACAGACAAGTTAGATCATCATTTTTTCATGAGTTAAAAACTGGTACAATACCTACTAACAGGGACCTATATACTAAGTATATAGGTCCCTGCTACTAAGAAGTTTGCTTTTTTGACAATTCTCAGTAAGGAGTATTATGCTTTTTACAATGCTTACTTATGAGAGTGGTACTTTTACTGCAGTTAATAGGTATTTTTCCTGAAGTAAAGATTTGATCAGTTTACAATACTTACTTATGAGATGGGTATTTGTCCTGAAGTAAAGAGATGATCATTTTCTCTACAGCTTGGTCGGTTTCCGTGACAATATCTGCGTACGATTCTTTTGTTTTCTGATCTTTATCTTTGTAAAATGCATCTTTGACGACCTGTCAATCAGCAAAAAGATACCTGCTGTACTGAAGAATCAAATATCACCGATATCAGACTAGATGAAGTATGTCTGTGGTTAATACAAGTAGTTATACAAATCATCACCAACCCGCTACTAACAGATATAAAGGAACTAGACTCATTCTATGTTCTCACAGTAAGAACATCTACCAAATGAAGAATCCACTGAAGTGAATTTAATTTCTCTTTCTCTGCCTTCATCTCTCACATAATACATAGAGGATATTCAATTATGTTTCCACTGAAGTGAATTTATTTCTCTCTCTCTGCCTTCATCTCTCATATTTTCACAGTGCGAAGCACGAGTGAAAATATCTGAAACTTTCTGTACTCATGAGTGAATATATTCATATTCCAGTAAAAACATTGCCATTTTCTGTTTATTACATTTTTAAAATAAAATTCTTTGATTTTTTCAGCCTCTGTCTTTTTGTAATTAGTACATAGGCCTCCTTACCGCATAGTTTATAAATTTAGACGTCATAGCTATGTGAGGTGAAAACACTGTAAGCATGGATTTAGCAACATAATTTTGGTAATTTTAACAGTTTTATTTGCGGTCAGTGTGGTTTATTTATTTTCATCTATCTTGCATTAGGTCAAGGAAGATTTTTTTAAAAAGCACACTTAACTGGAATTAATAATATGATCATGATTTTCATCACACTGTGACAGGATATCATTTTGATATCCTTTCACAGTGTGACAGGATATCATTTTTATTCAATGAATAAATTACAGTATTTCACAGGTAAAAATGTAATAAATTCTTATCTCCTTTGTTTTCTGAGCCACTTTCTGTACTGCATGTTGGGATATATTATCAATTCCAGTAAAGTGTGCCTTTTTTCATTATCTCACAACCTATGATGACAGCTGCACTCAAAATAATTAAATAGTACACAGCTTCTAACCCCAAGCTTTATAACTTGAAGTTTCTTCTTATCCCTGATTGGTTGCTTCTGCTAATGACTATTTCCCGTCAATGTTGATAAATTGAGTTGCATGACTAATCACACTAATCACACTGCAGGGATGTGAATTGTTTACACTGGGTGCATCAGTCAGAAAAGATTATGATGTAATCTGAAACGGCACACTTAACTGGAATTAATAATATGATCATGATGCTTAACTTTGTAGATATATTTTTAATATAACCGCATCTTTCCGGCTTTCACATCCACTTTCAGTGTGCCATATTATACAGTACACATCTTTGTAGATATGTAATACTCACCTCTCCTGCTTTCTGGGCCATGTTATATAGAGCACATGCATCTTTGAAGATCTTTAACGACGTTCGATCCTGATATTTAAAGTCTTAAACTTTTTTTGCCAAGTATATTTTTAGTTTCTACATACATGGCTTAATTAAAATTTAAATAAAAAAATGGGGGTCAATATGCTTCTTTTAGCGCTACAGTACATTTAATATGACCTTTCTGCACTGAACTTTGTGTCTTAATTAAAAATTACATCTGATTTTCCCTCCTGATATTTTTATCCAATTAAAGCATAAAACAAAATGAACTCTAAGTCTGTTAAAAAAAAGACACTTAAAAATTGTGACCAAGAAAAAGTTTCAAATTGAATCGCATAATCAATTATTTGACCTTTCTGCACTAATAAAATGTTATTTTCTTTCATTGAAAATATAATAAGCAAGAAAATGATTTTAAAGTCTTAAACTTTTTCTGATTTTAAGCAAATAGGTCAAAGTTATCTTGAATATTTAGAGAGAGAAAATCAAAAGTGGGGGTATATGATGTACATTTTCAGATATTACTAAAAAAGTGTGAATTTTACGTTAAAATAGGTCTTTTTTCATTTTCACAATATATTTACTATATTTGTCACGCTTTGTTGATAGAATTCATAAGAAATAATTTAATAGATATTTCAGAACCAGCATAACATATTTCACTGCAAAAAACAGATTTGTGTGCAACCAGCATGGAAAAATAGGTATCCAAAATTAACAGTACTGTTATAGTTCAAATGGAAAAAACTGATCATTTTCGTCTAAAAAGCCTTCCGCCACAAAATATAGTCCCTACCTTAATTCTACTTGAATGGAATTTAATCGCGGTTTTTTCATTTAATATAGTTTAATTTGCATTGTAGAATTCAGTTTTATTGATAGAATCTAAAAATGATGCTTAATTTTATGAATAAAGGACCTGCGCGAAATACGCTCAAAATATCAGGATCGAACGTCCTTAATTAACTCACCTCTCCTGCTTTCTGGGCCACTTCCAATGCTGTGTTGAGGTATTCAGACAAAGAGTGATCAGACATTTTTTTCTTTCCTGTATAAATCAAAACAAAAGAATTAATATTTAGATAATATGATAGTCACTTTCAAGTAATTCTACACTTCATCATGTTCATAGGTCTAAAGATGAATCTCAGAATTAAATGGGCGTCAGTCCAAATATCTAGCCCAGCAGAATCTCAACAGAGATTAGCCTTAAGGTTAAATTAGCAATTTTATATTAAAAAGCACAAGAAAGAAAAATACATGTAAATGGTAAATTATGAATTAGATTTTATTTCAATAATAAACATGATTTTGAAATTGTTGGTTTATTTACTTAAAGAAATTAAATCATTAATTTTTTTTAATTTAAACCATGATATTATGTTTCTTGAATCAGGAATTTATCTAGGTTCTTAAGGGAACTATTAATTGGAAAATATTAGGCTTCTATTTGAGACTAGGGTTTATCTCATTTTAATTTTAAAATGACAACCATGTGACCAGTCAACAGGGGGTTTGTTTTTGGCACCTGATCCAACATTTGATGTTTTTAGAGGTCTGTGTGACTTTTGTGAACTTTTAAACTTGCATGACTATACTATTTGTTATATTTTTAAGTAAATTCATATATTTTTTGCCAAAAATTAATAAACTGTAACCTTCACAGACTGAATTGAAAATTAATACCTTAAACCTAAATTGTTAAAAGAATTTCATCAATTCGGTAAATATATAAGATCATTTCAGATGGGAAAAGAGAGGGAAAATGCACTGAATTGATTTAATTTCCATATAACTTTAGTTTAGAAAGGATGACTTACCAACTGGGTCTGTCTTTCACTTCTATGATAGGATTAAGAGTGATCTCCCTTTGACTGTATAATGTTTATCGACATTTTAATGAAATTCTGCATTTCATTTTACTTTTATTCAAAATTAAAAGCAAGCTGTTGTAAATTTGGATATGTTTCATTAATAAAAATAGCTGTATTTTGATTGCTGCAATTTATTTTAATAAGTTCTGAAATTCGTTTTTAGTGAATCCGTTCAGTTATTTTTAAATTTATATTCTTATGTTTATTTCCGGTGTAGATCCACGTGTTGTTTGGATAAATATGTCATCAAAAATTAAATCAAAGCGTGTTCCAGATAAGGTAAATAAATGGCAAAAGTAGTTAATAATCAGAACAAATGAAAAATTGTCTACGGCAAGTGATTGTTCTTCTTACACTAACCAACACGTAACTCGGAAACGTAAAATCTTAGAAGTTATCGACGTTATTTAAACAACAGCCTGTCAAAAAATGGCGGACAAAAACATGTTACGATTACGAAATTCCATCTAATTATTTTCAGGTTTGTTTTAGTTTTTATCTATGAACATATTTAAAAAATATCAGTTTGAATTTCTATGTTAAAAATGATGCTTGCACCTATGACCCTTGTTGGAACCTCATATATAATTTTGATTGGCTGATTAAGGTATCACTTTTCATTTTGTGGATTAATTTAGGATATCAGGAATACAGTGGGGAATATTCCACTGGAGTGGTACAGAGAATATCCACACATTGGATATGACATCGAGGGAAATCGTCTCTTGAAACCAAAAAAAGGGGATCAGTTGGATGAATTCCTTAACAAAATGGACAACCCAAATTACTGGTAAGTAATTTAAAGACATAGATGTATGTGATATAAAGTATACTTAATTTTTAGTACATTTGTAATGGAAAAGTTGTAGACAGACTACTTACATGTATTTAAAATCTCAGCACATTCTCACAAAGTTTTGTATTTTGATGTCACAAACCTAAACTTATTATTTAATTATTTTGCATTTTATCTTCAATGATGAATACATGTTGAATACATGTTAATATATGTATGGTAAATAAAAACCTTTTCCTATCTGTGAAGGCAGCTGGTCATTCCTCGTATAATTTTCCAATTTTAAGAATTTTTATGTTTAAATACTTATAGTTTATAGACTTGCATCTTTTGTTTTTAGGCGAACAGTGACAAACAAAATGACGGGACAGAATGTTGTTCTGGGAAAAGAGGACCTGAATCTGATAGAAAATCTAAAATGATTTGCACATCCCGAATAACTAGCCAAAATAATCAAAACAAAGCTGTTGTATGCATAGCCTGTTTGTGTTAAAGAAATGAAGAACTTATTTTTGTACAGAAATTCTTAATATGGTTTTGTTAGTCTATTAACTTGTTCACTCAAAATTTACTGGTTTAACAAATATTGATTATTTCATATAAATTAAAAAAAACCAAAAAGACTCAGTTTTTGTACAGTAGCGTTGTAGCGTTATCTTGAATTTTCAGAAATTATATTCATTTTTTATATTCCTTTTTCAGCCCTGGATTGATTTTTTCACTCACGAGACGATGATTCATCCAGTAACAAACCATCCCCAACACAAGAGAAGCTTCATCCCCTCCAAGTGGGAAAAACTCAAGGTATATATAACCAACAAGATTTAAATAAAGCTCAAAACATGAATGATGAGGTTTAAATTCCACTGTATATTGATCACACTGTAGTATGGAAAGGGGGAATGAGTACACATACATAATTGAAAATTTATAAATACATATATAATGAAAACATACCGTATATCAGGTTTTTTCCGCGTCATGTTTTTTCCGCGAATCAGAACCTAAATCAGTATATTAAATTTACGCGAATCAAATTTTCACTATTTCAAAGTCCCAGTGATTATATATTATTAACAATTGTTTAAGCCTATGAAGGAAGTGGATTTAAAATGTAAATTCATTCAGCTTAAGCTACTTCGTACGGGTGAGAAATTGTGTATTTTTTTGCCTTTGAAAAAAATGATTTAAAAGTTGTACATTTTTCAATTTTTTACACACCTGTGTTGCGTACTAACAATCAAAACTACAGATATTGGTGTCTTCTAGCTATTCCCACTTTTTAAAAATCTCAATTCCAGCTATTCCCACTTGCAAATAACAATAGATGTTTAGATTTACCTGTATTTTGTACATTTTAAGACAGAAAATAATATTATACATCTATGAGAAAATATTTTAATCATTCAATTTTCGAAATAATAAAAAGATCTTACAAAAAAAGCAACTTAATACCTAAATTTAAGAACATAGTCAATTATTTGTTTACACAAAATTCCACCTATTCCCACATAAAATCTTACCTTTTTCTACATGATTTTCAAAAAGTGGGAGTAGGTAGAATAAACCCAGATATTATTATTCTAAGATTTAAACAATCATAGGTCATTTTTTTTTTTAAACTGACCAAAGCTCTTTAGGTATAATTAGTTTAATAGCTTCTCGCAAGGATCGTGACCCATATAATTAGCTAGCTTGTCAATTAGTAAACAAACAAGAAGGGCTTATACACAGTGGCGTAACTAGCAAATTATTTACTGTATTCAGAAAGGCAAGGGGTCTGGGGGCCGCCTTTAGGGCCCAGGGGGCGAAGCCCCCGGAAGCTCATGCATTTTAAGGTTTTTATACATTTGAAAACTACCATAAAATAGTTCAATTTTTAGTATCGTAGTTCTGCTTTTATAATGCTAAATATTAACAAAACCTGCCGAGTTTTGACAATACTTACAACTCCCCAAATTTCCTTTTTCTGAAAGCATTTCTTGTTTTCCTTTTATCAATAAATTTTCCAAAAAATCTTGTAATATAGGGCGTTAAAAAAAACCTTAACTTTGTGAGGATGCTTTAACTGATATTTTCAAAATAATTTTTCACAAGAACATCTTTGCTTTTTCGTAAAATTGGCTAATTTTTTCAAACTTTTTCTCTCAATATTTGTAGCAACTTTTTAATTATATTACAAAAAAGCTATTTTGAAATTTACTGACGAAAGAGAATTTATTATGGATGGCAGGGAAACATTGAAAAATGTTGAATAGTAGTTTTTATGAAAATTATTTCTCAGTTGAAAATGCTTTTTAATCATTTTTTAAACACAAAGTGAATTATATATACAAGTATATCAACAACAAAAAAATGAATGTTCTCCATTTGTTACATTTTAAAATCAATTGTTTTGAAATAACATGTTAAGTACTAGTACAGCAGTTACCTTTGGTTTAAAGAGATTATGTAAAAAAATTATGTCAAAATATATACATGTAGTTTGGTATTATTTGCTTTTGCTTGAATTGACACAACTATGAAATTCGTCCTCAAAATTTAAAAAAAAACAAAACATTATGTACACGAAATATGAACACTGTATCAAAAATTTTGGATAGAAGTTGAATATATTCTTTTAATCTATTAAGCAGGTAAGGATTAAAAATATCTTTTAATATAATTTATTTTATTTTAATCTTTTATTGAACTTACGACATTTTTTTCTTTATTTTTTATTTTTGGTGAAAAATCTGTGTATTCATTTGCGTTTTAGCGTAAAGGGCTCTACGCCACTGTTATTACCGGTATCTTGCGCTTGTCCTCTGATCCCGCTATTTCTACCCTTTACGATATAAGCATTAAAAAATAAATCTACTACAAGAAAAAAACTTTGTATTAAATTTACGCTGTTTCATTTTCCGCGATTCAGAACTCGTCGCGAACAAAGCGGAAATTGGATACACGCGGAAAATTCCTGATATACGGTATGGCTGGACCAGGAATCAAACCCATGACCCCTGCATTACTAGTCAGGTGCTCTAACCACTAAGCTTTCTAAGCAGATGTCCTCAGTCCAGCCTACCGGTAATTTCCTACAACACTAAGATTGAAATGATTTAACGAAGTACATATTTTTAAAAGATGACGTCATGAATAAACAGTAAAAATTTCAATTTCAATGCTATGGACATAAACATTTATTTGTTTATTTGCTATCATTTCTGTAATTGAAACATTTACATTAACCATAAATAAAAACAGTCTGTTAATCTGTTAGATGGCATTCACTCACAGAATCATGATCCTTTTATCAGGTAGGACAAATGGTGCATGCTCTGAAGATGGGTTGGATGAAACCCACAAAACCCAAGACAGGGGAAGAGGAGGAACAGAATTATTACATGCTCTGGAAGGACGATGAGGAGGTTTAATTAAAACAATGATTGATTAACAAGAGCTTTGTTGACTTTTAAATTTAATGATGTGTATGTGACGTACATGATTTTTGTGGGGTTTATTTTTAGCCTGAAATAACCAGAAGATACAGGGCCCATCTACCAGCCCCTAAAGCCCCCCTCCCCGGTCACGCAGAGTCTTACAACCCCCCACCAGAGTACTTACTGAGCAAGGAGGAGGTAAGGATGGAGTTGTGTTACTCCAAATAACAGTACATACTGAACAGGAGGAGGTCAAAATCATACTGATCCCTAGTAGAGTACTTATCAATGTAACTCCCAACCAAAGTGCTTATCCAGAAAGCCCTTAGAGGAAAAATGAACTTTTATATAATGGCTTCTTAATAAGACATTGAAGAATGATGTAGTCAAACTGTCTGTGTGATTCTCTGTGTTAAATGGTCTGACTGTTTGTCTGTCTGTCCTATTGACTTTCTGTCTGTCTGTCTGTTTGTAGGAGGAGAAGTGGATGAACATGGAACCAGAGGAGAGAAGGATGAACTTTTTACCTCAGAAGTACAGCAGCCTACGACTTGTGCCCGCTTACAAACGCTTCATTAACGAGAGATTCGAAAGATGCCTTGATTTATACCTGTGTCCCCGCAAACCAAAAGTCAAGGTACTTTTAAAAAGTTATACTTTTATGTTTTACTTGCAAAGTGTGTTTTTCATAATTACTTTCTGTTGAAGTGCTTTCTTATTCATGTGTGAGGATTTTGATATGTATTTATTTTCCTATTTAATTTAGAAAGATATATTTTTCAAATGTAATAACAGGATAATTCTATATATTTAGATGAACATAAATCCTGAAGATTTGATTCCTAAATTACCAAAACCAAGAGATCTTCAGCCATTTCCCACTTCACAAGCTATTGTAAGTACATGTATCTCATACTGCCTATTCAATTCATTTATTGACAACACCATCATACATTGGCATATAGTCATGAATACAACAATTAACATACATGAAATAAAATATCAAAGAAAGCATATCAGGTTTGTTGAAGGTTTTCTTTCCTAATATCAAAGCCTATTATCAAGTATCTGATTGATACTCCTTAGTAACTGGTCACTATTAGTGACTAATTCTGGTATCTAGGCTGTTGTTAACCTATTTTTTTTTGTGTTGTATAAGTTACTGTCAGTACTAAAATTAATGTAAGTGTCCTAATTAATTCGTTATTGTTAGTATTTTTTACCAATGTCATTTTAAATAGACTGGGAGTTAGTTTAGACTTCTCATTTTAAAAATATTTTGATCTTGCAGTGACTGTATTTTTACTACATTCACTTTAATCTATTTATAGATATTTAAAGGTCACAATGACATTGTACGAACCATTTCTGTGGACCCCACTGGACAGTGGCTAGTGTCAGGTAATGTCAACACACACTCACACTCTTAGGGTTCTTTGTTATTTGTCCCCAACCACTATTAAGATAAATTATTATTATGGTATTCTTAATCTTGAGATATTGTGATAGCATTATATTGCATACTATCCACTTTTTTGAAGTTAATGGTTCCTGTGCGTAACAATAGTCTTATTCATTTGAGGGTCCCACTGTGATAATAATTCTTTTTTCCAAATGTCATTACTTTTTGTCAAACAATTCATTTTAAATTATTATTGTGCCATGCTACACTTTGGCATCATTACATTAGGCCGAAGAAATTACTTTGATAGCATGAATGCAATCACATGCATTGTTCTGCACCACATTTTGACTTCATTTTATTCTTCTGTACAATATTTTTTTCATTACATTGTGTCATAAAGCGTTTTGACACATTACATTCCATCCTGTTACATTTGATTTTTCACCAAACAGGAAGTGACGATGGAACAGTGAGATTCTGGGAAGTGGCGACGGGGCGATGTATGAAGTCGGTTTCCATGGAGAAGGACAACACCGGGAACTCTAGCTGTGCTAAATGTGTGGCCTGGAACCCCAATCCTGACGTCAGTCTTGTTGCTGTGGCAGTGTAAGTACTGTATATATACTGACCTTCCTAGTTTACATACAGATTTAAAGAAATGGAGAAAATAAGGATTTATTTTGTTTGGAGTATGTTACAAGTGTGGCTCAGACCTTTTCCTGTGAAGCACAAAGTACAAGATGAAATCTTTATTACAGGGGATTGAGTGTGCTTCTAATTAATCCTGGACTGGGAGACAAAATGGTGACCATCAACACCGACAACATAATCAACTCACCCCCCGCTTCTGAGGAAGATACAACAGGTAGATATAATCTAGATAAACTAGGAATGTCGAGGGGTATTTTGGATTTCAAACTGACACATTATAATAAATGTTGTCAGAAATAATATTTGTTTTTATAAAATGGGTATATGATTACTTTTGTAAATAGATTGTAAAGTCACCTTATAAAGAGGAAGACATCTGTAAAGGTTTTGTGTCTCAATGGTTTACAGTTTCATTGGTGTATCGATAACAAGGTTTATCATGCAAGGTGCAGAAAGTGGAAAGGGGTCATATTGTAGTATCAAGGGTGAAACGTCTTCATATTATCTGAGTCCTTATGAAAAAAAACTAAATACAAAAAAATTTTCCTAACAATGCATTCATGTAGAGTAAGAAAACTTGATCAATATCACAGGTGATAGGACAGCTGAGTATAGGAGAACCTCTTTTTGAGATAGAGTCACCCCGTATAATTTAGTTTGTATCATTGCTTTCTTTACTTGTAGGTAAAAAGCTGTATGTGGATTGGTCTGTCATTGACCCCTCAGACAAGAGATATGAGAAGGGAATCAGATTTACTCTACAGCATGCAAAGGTAAGCTAGTTATTCAATTCTTTGTTGATTGAATGATTGGTTTTTTTGTCACAATATAAAAAATTTCCTGTTGTTAAGTTACATGTATGTTGGTAATAAGATGAACATTTTATAATGTAGATACAGTGTTATTGAATTCCAGAAAGAATATAAAGTGACCTGTTTCACAGTCTGCTTTTTTCAATTGTTATCGTGTTTTAACAGGATGTATCCCAGGTCACATGGCATGGAAGGGGAGATTACTTTGCCTCAGTAATGCCAAAAGGAGACAGTCAATCTGTGCTCATACATCAGCTCTCAAGACGTCGCTCACAGGTAAATTAAAGATATCTGAATTTTATTTGTCAATCTTTTTCTTTTTAATATTCTGGACAAATACAATATCTTGCTTCCAAATCTAAAAATGAATTGTGTTTCTTTCAGAATCCATTTACAAAGTCTAAAGGTCTAGTTCAATGTGTTCTTTTCCACCCCATCAGGCCATTCCTGTTTGTGGCTGTAAGTAAAATATGTAACAATATCACAAACAGACAGACAGATAGACAAATGAAAAGAGAGACACTTAGATCAACAGATACATAGAAAGACAGATAGATAGAATATTTATGTTTGTAGTTGTACACATGTAAGTATTGAAGCAACTAAAACACAGACGTCTAAAAATATTACTATTTTTAGCTCAAATTCTGTCATTTATAAAAAGAATGAGATGTTGAAAGAATAGTCTGACTTTCAGCTCTAAATTCAACAGTGACTAAAGAAGAAAACAAGAGTATTTGATAAAAGTACATCATTGCAACTGTTATGGGTGAACGAAATATCTGTATACTTTTGTATACTCCTTGCTCTGCAGTGTATAAATATATTTTGCAGACACAGCGCTATGTTAGAGTTTATAACTTACTGAAGCAAGAGTTATCAAAGAAACTGATGACTAACTGTAAATGGGTGTCCAGTATGACTGTTCATTCAGGAGGTAAGATTGGTTGTGTTTTTGTAAGTAATGTCCAAAAATAACCATCCAATCAGGAGGTAAGATAAGTAACTGTAAATGGGTGTCCAGTATGACAGTCCACTCAGGAAGTAAGATTGGTTGTGTTTTTGTATGTCCAATGTGATTAAATACTTTAGAGTAAGACTATTAATGACAATATATTCAACAAGATAAGTGTTAAGAAGATGCACAGTCAAGTTTACAAAAATACATGATTTGACCTTAAATGTTTGTTATCCAGGTGGCAGGGTTATAGTAGGAAGTTATCATTTTCTTCTCTCATAGTTTGACCTTGAACATTTTATTCTGTTGCCTAGGTGACAATGTTATAGTAGGGAGCTATGATTGCCGTCTCTCATGGTTTGACCTTGACCTTTCCATGAAACCTTACCAAACTCTCAGGTTAGTTTTCCGTTTTGTGAACACCCTCAACAATTTTCTACAGAATTCAGTAATCATTCATGACTTTCCATTTTTTATGTATTTTGTATTTACATATAAGGATCTTGAAAAATGAACACATTCGCTGCTTTGTATATTTCAGACACCATAAGCAGGCTGTCCGAGCGGTTAACTTTCACAGAAAATACCCACTGTTTGCCTCGGCTTCTGATGATGGAACGGTCATTGTGTGTCACGGAATGGTTTACAAGTGAGTGACTGATCCCAAGATATAATTAAATCATTAAATACATAGTATAAACTGCATAAAATAAACATTTAGGCGATGTGGTTCACAACCGCATATGCTTTGAAATAGGAAAATATTTGGTACATACATGGATATATTTTTCTTCTTAGCTGAAATTATGGTGATTATTTTAAAATAAGGGATTTACATGTATGATTTTTTAAGAAATGAGGGAAAGGAATGTTTCATAAAAGATTTACATACTCAATCTGTAGGATTTTAAAACATTATAGAAAATCAATTTGTGATAATCTTTACAGAGCCTACGATTATTTTTTTCAGTGACTTGTTGAAGAACCCCTTGATTGTGCCGGTGAAGATCCTGAAGGGTCACGCCCTTTCCCAGGGTCTGGGGGTTTTAGACTGTGTGTTCCACCCCAGCCAGCCCTGGGTGTTCTCCTGTGGGGCGGATACAACCATCAGACTGTTTACCTGACCCTCCTGAGCCTGGGTCATTCCCGGGGGTGGATCCATCATTTGTATCAATTGTTGTTATAGGAGAATTGACTGTGGAGGAGCCTAGATTATGTGACAAGTCATGTGACACAATGAAGACCATTCATGAATGAAGACATCTAACGAAATATTTCTGAATATATTTCATAAATCATGATATCTTAAATACTTTTAAGAATTTTGTCATTTCATTTGTGTGGAATGAATTTGTATTTTTATTTTGTTGGAAATAAACAACATTTACATTTTTTTTTTTTTTAATTTTAAGTAATGTGAAAATAAAACTAACAGTATAATAATCTAAGTATTAGAATGATATTGATTAATAACTTAAGACTGGTAAATGCAGGCAAACCATTTTACTAATGAACTTATCCTGTAAAATATTGAAGAGATTTTTACATTCAACAACCTGTAGAGCTACTGTCTCATCACAAACTTCTGGTTGTGGAATGAAAGATGAATATGAAAATATTTTGGTTTTTCCATTTAAATAACTTGAAAATGCATTCTTTGCATCAGAAAACCTTGACAGTGTTTATCAATGCAAGACAGCAGTTATAAATGCTAGAAAACTATTTAAATTTTTGCCAAAGCAGTGAAAAGGGTCTAAATCTACTTTGGGCCTTATTTGTGTATAATAAATTAGGTTTCATCATTCACTGAAGATGAAGAAATGGGGAAAGCATATCCTGGGCTTTTGATAATTGTTTTGTTAGCTGCTCTTTACATGGGGAAATTAGCATAATCCTGTTTCATGCCCAAACTGTTTATTAATAATTTACATTTATGAAGCCACAGCAAACCTGGAGTTTAACGCAATGATTTTTTCCCATATTCACTATTATACAAGAAAATCACCTCTCTGGGGTGTAAGAGGAGACTAAGAGTTTGAAGACTGATTTAAGACTTGATTCAAATTAAGGCACTGCACATTGGGACTGAGGGGGGGGGGGGGGTGGACGTTACAGCTGTGGGTACATTTAGTTCACTAAAAGAGGGTCATTTCTAGGTATCAATTATACTTCCATTAAAATGGATTATATTTATATTAACCTGTGGTGGGGGGTACAAATATTAGTGACTTTTAATCTGATTGATAGAGATCTCTTCAACGTCATGATTTAACTTTTTTGAAATTTAAATATTAAATGAGAAACCTAAGGTTTGGAGTATATATGGCGAGATTATAGATTGTATTCTTTTAGGGGGCGTGGCAAGTGGGCGTGTCCTGCTAACAGCAGACATCCCTACAGAACCACAGCTGTGATATATAATTACAGTGATGGAGACCAAAGGAATTATTCTCTTCATAGCAGGTAGGATTTTATCTTTAATTATTTTAATGATCAAAATAATTAAGGACAGGTGCTATTTATTTGATCTAAAGTTATTGAAATAAGTTATATTAATTTTATTGAATGATAAGTTACGTAAATTTTAACCTTTCATTCAAAGTACGGTGATATCTGTCTTACCAGAAAGGCTATATTAATTTGTACAGAATTACATGTATAAAGGTGCAGGCATATACATAAAATGTTGTAAATTCGTAAACTTTTTGTTGGTTAAGAAATGAAATAGGATATTTGCATTGTTTACTCACCCGAAAGTTTGATTATAATTAGGATTATAGCTTATTTTCAGTGATAATTTTTACTTTAGCATATGCAACAATTAAGCAAATAAAATTCAGACTTTTACATGCTTCAATCGGTACATGGCTAAGACAGCGTGGGAAATTATCATCTAAATGTTGTAAATTAATTTATTTATTTGGAGTCTGAATTTATTTTTCAGTGTGCCTTTGCCTAGGCGAGGTTTATACGGGTAAATTGTTTAAGTAAGTATTTAATTAAAACAATGAACTAGACCTCCCTCATTCAGATCTTCTAAAACAAAATAATTGTTTCATAATTCGATAAATGAAAAGGACTAATCTAAACAAACGTCACAAACCAAAACCAAACAGGCACATGCAGAAATCCCAGCGCTGATTTTTCATATTTAACATTTGGAAGTCCATGCTAAAATTTTTTTTCAATGTATTCTGGTCTCCAGGCTCTGAATATCAGCACTTACGTACTAGTAATTGAAATAGCTTACAAAAAAATGTTCCCTCAATTCGTAGGGATATGTACTTTGAACTTCTGAATTTCTTCAAAGTTTATCATTATAATTATTCATATTACACAGGAAACAAATGATAAAATCTCAAATAAAAAAGACACCAGTTACACATTGTCAAACTGATCAGAAATATTTTCAGGGTAAATTCCTATTGACTTCCGCGTAATCAACGAAAGGGTAAATCTTATTGAGGATCAAGAAAATAAAGGGGAGGGTTAGTCTATGACTACTATTGCCTCAAATCTTTCACTTGTCATACCCATTTTACACATATTCATGTTCACCAGGGGGTCAGCGTTTTCCGGGGGGGGGGGGGGGGGGGGGACCAAGGTGACTTTTTTGTTGCTTTAGTATATACATTTTTTAACCGTGTAAATTCCAGGGGGGTCCTTTTGAATTTCCCCGAAGTTTATCCATGATACACAGAAAAAATCATAAAATCTTAAATAAAGAATTAGCCGCGCATGGACTAGCCCATGGATTGTTAGAACTGAATTTTTTAAGGATCACCACTTCGATTTACTAGGACTCCGCATCTTTTTATCCAATATGTAAGACTCCAACTATTGCATGTTTTCTGACTTAGGAGACAGACTGATTCTAACAGCGGAGTCCTGGTCCACGTGGGAAAGACGGTGTGGAATTGTATGTCCAGCAAACTGACAGAAGCTGTCACAGAACTCCTAAAGGACAAGAGCGGGTCATCTAGTATCAACAACTGCTGGTAAGACCCTCAGTATAAATTATATCTCAGTTAATATAGTGACAGAGGCTGTCAAAGATCTCCTAAAGGAAAACAGCGGGTGTCTAGTATGGACAACTGCTGACACGTCCCTCAGTATTAAGTTTTATTACTAAGTATTATTTCCCTCTCTCTGTTTGGCTGAGACTCAACAATGTTGGAAAAATACTACGTTATATTGACCTGTACGTGACCTTCCAGGTCAATATTATACAATCATTGCAGGTCAACATATTGAATTATTCCTGTTCTGTTTTTTCTGTTACAATGTGTTCTTGTTGAAATGTCTCGTTAAAACTTTCAATTACTGTAAAGCAAAAACAGTCTTGTAGGAGTGTGCCATCATTTAATCATAAAATAAAAGTTATTGCTGTTTTTTGAGAATACGATGATTTAGACACTTCGGGATCAGAAAATATTGTACATGTACTCCGAAGGTGGCTAAGTCATCGTATTGACCTCAAAAAACAGCAATAATTGTATAATATCTCATTTCTGGAAAATAATGTTATCTCAGTCAAATTGTATCTCAGTATATAGTTTATATTTCAATATGGGCACAAACTTGATTATCATTGTTGAAACAGTTTGTATCTCAGCTGTGACACTTGTATTAGGGAGAACTTGATATCCCCGTGATATCATCTCATTGGGTGCTTTATAGAACAAATCAGGAAAAATATTAAGTGATTGCTCTGTGAGCATTACAATGGTATCTCAGAACAAACTCCTTTAAAAACTTTATAGAAGTAAAATATAACTAACGTTAGTAATGCTCTTTTGATAGAATTTTATTTTTGCTTTGTGACTAGTATTTGGATAGAAACCAGAAATGTAACAGGCATTCTCGTTCTAAAACCTTTTCACAGGTACAGTGGACGGTATGGGAGTTGTTTGTCAGCCAACCTTAGTACAGAGCCCACCAGTCATGTGGTTGACTTCAATAATGCAGTGTACCCAAAGCAATGTGTAGCCCAGCAAGGTAAAGAATGGGGGCTGTTAACTATAGGCAGGGGCTGACAAATAGATTTTTAAGGCACTTGTCCAAGGGCAAATACATGGTCAAAATTGACTTGCCCTACCTGAATTTTTGCTTGCCCTACCATAAACTAAATCTGTATTTATAGATAATTTCAAAAAAAGAGGAAAACAAATGCTGAGTAAATCATACAAGCCACACTGCCCAGCTTTAAATTTATGGTCTATAAATAAATTCTTTTTTTGATAAGTCACTTGCCCACGGGCAAGTGGTTGATAAAATTTCACTTGCCCACCCCTAAAATTCACTAGCCCCGGGCGTCGGGCAATGGGATTTGTCATCCCCTGTATAGGGTCCGGCCTTTCAGATCTCTCACAATTAAAACTCAGTGTTATATGTGGACCACGACTTTTATTCACCAGCTATATAACTAGGTAATAAGCATCTTCTATTAACAATCTAGTGTCCACAACTAAGTGCATTTCAACCGCCATGTCAGAGGTCAATAAGTACGGCTGTGAGAGCAAGGTGGAGGAGAATTTGGGGAAACTGAAGAGTTCCACTTTATCACAGGAGGATCTAAAGGGAGCGTACTGTAGGTGAGAGCCTTTATATTATCTAACTTTTTTTAGGGCCTCAGTGACAGCATTCAGTTGTTCTTTAGGAACTTAGCGCTAGCTTGTGTTTATTTTTCAGTCTCTGACAGCATACAGTTGTATTTTATTTTAGGACCTTAATGCCAGTCTCTGTTTATTTTGTTCAGGGCCTCTGTGACAGCATACAGCTGTATCTTGTCTGTGGTGAAGTACTGTGATGTTACAGGTGGACCTAAGATAATGGACAATCTATCCATGTTTAACAAAGTCCGCACCGCTTGTTCACCCTACCTGCCGGCTACCACTACCCCTAAATCTCCCGAATCAGACATTGGTGGAATCGGTGACCTCTTCCCCTCTGACTTTAATGATGACAAGAGGTCAAACGTAAACACCTCCTCGGCCCCCAGCCACTCCCCGCCCCTCAGAGCCGGCACAGCCACAGTTATCTGCCTTGTCTTCTTAGTGTTTACTTTTGCTATGGTTTATTAAACATCTGACAATACACCCCAGTACTTTTTACATCTTTAAACACAGCATCACAGTTTGAGTGGTGTTTCCTTACATAATAATCTCCTTCTTGTTTTAGCAGTAATACAAGTATTTCAGTATTCATCTTGTATATAAAAAAAATACAAGTACAGAATAAAAATTTATTTACCACCCAAAAATCACATTTTTTTCTTCAAATGTCAGCACAGTGTTCCATACTTAGAAGATTGACAAGAATTAAATGATATTTACAATGCTTTGTCACATAGAAGCTGAACTGTAAATTATGATCTTTACTTCATATGAATAGAAAAATACTATGGTTTACTAATCCTTATCAAATATGAATACTGTCTGACTAACAGTACTTAGAGCCAGTCATATTTTTCCCGTGCAGGAAATATCCATGTATTTACAAGTACATTGCCGTGCAACATAAAGTTTTTTTTACTGCAGATAAGTCCAATAACATGAATAAGAATCAAAATGAAAGAGATATCTACACAACAAGAATCAGTTCATCTTTACACAGTAAAATGAAGTCCATAACACAATCGTCAAGGCTGTACACATTGTTCTTACAGACAGTTTAAATAAATTTGTCACTATGATTTATGAAGGTGTTGAATCACACAGAACTCTCCTCTAGCACTCAGTTTTACGAGTACAGATCCTCCTGGTCCGTCCCCGGGAGGTCGGCCTCGTCCATCGAGCTGAAGTTGAGGAAGTGAGAGGGCCGGTGAACCTCATGATAAAACTCCTTAGGATTGGACAGCTGGAGCTCGTACTTCATGTTGGGGTCGTGTCGTACTCCTACAATCAGATCAGAAGCATTAACAGGTGTTTGTCATGAATGAATTTAACAAATCTAAACTTTACCCTCTTTAAAAGTATAATTTTCTATTCCATTGTATTTAAATATGTCTACATGACCAATCATTATGCGCCCGGATCAATAGATCCGGGACGTATATTATTTTTGTCCTGTCTGTCTGTTTGTTTCTTTGTTTGTTTGTTTGTTTGTCTGTCTGCAAACTTTAACCTTCGCAATAACTTTTGAACCATGAAAGATAGAGATTTCATACCTGATATGCATACTCAACTAATGAAGCTCTTTCAAATGACACCAAAGTCAATGACCTTGTGACCTTGACTGTAACCTATATGCCAAAAATAGCCTTTTTCTGCAAACTTTAACCTTCTCCATAACTTCTGAACCATGAAAGATATAAACTTCATATTTGGTGTGCATACTCCACTAATCAAGTTCTTCCAAATGACACAAAGGTCAACGACCTTGTGACCTTGACTGTCACCTATGTACTATAAATAGCTTTTTCGAATTTTGCTGCCGTTGGGCACATAGTGTTTCACAAACACATCTTGTTTTTTTTTTCTTCAAATAAAATCCACCATGTAGAGAGAAATTGATTGTTATAGACAACAAGGTATTGTGTCTTACCCATGAAGTTGTAGTTCCATGATCCCTCGGAGGGAGTCATAAAGAATCCCAGGAATCGGTCAGATAACAACATCTGTACACGCTCGTAATGGGAGGGGAGGTAACCCTTGGGGTTGTTACCAGTGTCAGTGTTCTGTCGTCCCCACTCACAGCCTGTGGGGGTCAGTTTGTAGGCAGTCAGGGAGCATGACCCAGGGGTAAAACTGAAAGAAAGATTGTAACAGGTTTAGATTACCATTATAAAACAATTACTGACGATAAATGTTCTCTAACTCTTATTATTACAAGGAAGTTCTTCCTAAATGCATCATTCAGAGCTCAGGCCCCAGTTACTTACCTGCAGGTGATGATTACAGTTTTCTCTCCATCCCAGGATGGATTGTCGGCCATCACTTTAGCGTGCGTGGTGATGTCTTGTGGTGACAGCTGTGGTAACTCGTTAGGCTGGGTGTGGATCCAACCAAGAGGCTCCATCTCCTACAAATATACCACAACATACATCATTTAAATTGGAGTTTAAACCTTTGCATTTATTCTACTTACTTAATTTGAGTAATAACTACCATTCTTTCCTGTCTTGAGATAATCATGGATGAAGAAGGTGGGAAACGTGAAGTCTGATAAGTTTACTTTTGGTTGAGGAGATGATGCCTGTTTACTTGAGATTATAGGGGGGTGGAGGAGATGCTACGTACCTTTAGATACTCGTGGTTAGGGAGTAGGTGGGGCAGGTGAACTGTCTGATGTGTCCCCCACTGTGGAGGTAACACAATACACCTGATCTCTTTCACCTGGGGGTTGTCAGGGGGACTAACTCCGTACAGGTAACCAGCAATCTGGAACAAAAAGCGTGTGTTATTGTCTGTATTTCAAATAACAATTATGTTGGATTTGATTAATTTTTTTTCCCTTATACTTGAAAAGATTATCTCAAATTTACCTGAGCTCTAAGATCTGAGATGATGATGAACTTCTTCAGAACATTTTTGGGCAGAATATATGTGTATCCAGTCTCCTTAATGTCATCTGATGAGACATAAATGTGGTTTGTTCTCAGGTGAAGGTTGGTGGCTGAGATAGCTCGAACTCGCCATTCAGTCTTCGAGGCAAACGTGGATGTCTCGTAATTACTGGTGGTGGACGTAATGATCTCGTCTCCGTGTTTGTTTACGGTGCGTGTCGTTGTTGCTGTTAACTGAGACTGCTCCTTTGTCTGTTTCTCAATCTCGGCTATCTGAACTCGCTGAGCTGAGGGAGCTGAGATTTCCATACCCAGAATAATATCTCGTATCTCAGATTGTGTCAGGGATGCTACGTTGACACTGAAATTACAAAATACATACATATTATATAATTAGATGTAGCATCAATCTCACAAATCTAAACAGAAATTCTCTGTTTTCTCAAGTATCAAGAACCTTTTTCAATATACAGCAAGTTTTCAGAATTTATTCTTCATTTGAAGATGTAGAAGGCTTGTTTTTTTTAATCCACTATTTGTTTTTAACTTTTGTTCATTTTTCCTTTTATAAGTACTGTATCTTACTTGTTTTTCTTGCCATAGTCGGCCATGATGAGATCTTTGAGCTGGTTCTCGATCTTCATCCACTCCTCGTCGGACAGACTCGGCCAGATGTGATGGGCCTCGGTAATGGTCGTCTTATCAGGCTTCAGAATGACCTTCGTCCTGTCGTTATTTACGTGTAATGCTCTCAGGATCAGGATCAAACGAGAGAACGCCTGGATAAATCACAAATACACATTTAAATATGAGCATTGTAAACCGAAATAGCTTTTCACCAATTATTGTACACTTGTGTTGCAAACAGAAATAGTTTTCAGCCAATCATTCAAACACTTACTGTGTAAGAGGAAATGGTCTTTAGCCAATCATCATACAGATTAAACAAGACCATCTGAGGCTCAGTAGCTTTCAGAATTAAATCTCCAAACTTCTCCACCTGTCAAAACAGAGGGCACATTAAACTGTACTAGTTCATAACTTTATTATCTCTATCATATGCTGAAAAGTTTTTACAATAAACATTTTCTTTATGTATAACTGTTTTTTTGCTCTCGCTGTCTTTTGCATGTCTTCCTTCAGTTTTTTAACAACCAATCATTAATTTACCCTTTTTTGGCATCAAGTTACCTGTTTTAAATGCACTTTTTTGTATCAAGTTGCCAATTCAACAATGTTGTCAAACTTGCATTTCATTTGAAAAGAAAACTTGTGTCCCCTTATTACTTCTTCCAAGATCAGTTATCTCCCTTACCTTGAGACAGGCCTGGAATGGTAGCTGGAGTTCACTGCCCTTGATGACGATGTTGGGGAAGTCCAGCAGGTGGACCTCGAGGGGATCTAACATTCCTTTCCTGGTGACGATGATCTGTTTAGGCTGCTCCTCCACAGGCAGTGATCTAATTAAGGCAGCCACCTCCTCAGCCGTCTTCCATTTAGCCAGCTACAAAAAAACAGTAAAATATTCATAAACAACATAACTATGGCATGATTAAAACATGCTTAAATGCTCAACCTTAGAGATAAAAGAAAGCATCCAAGACAATCTCTCTAGTGTGATAGGATATTAATTATGTCAAAGATAAAATATGAATAAACATGATAAAGATTAACTATCTCCAAGTGCTTGATGATTTTAGTTTCTGTACCTAATTTTAACTTACCTGTCCAAGACGTTTCTGCCCCGCCCACACAGAGGTGTGGATAATCTTCAGGAAGAGCTGCCCTGTTCTAGGATTGAAGATGAAGATGGCACCATTGATTGGTTTGGTGGTCAAGTTCCCTTCAAAAGTCTGAAACACACAAAACATTACTTATCAAAATACTCTCTTTTTGTTGAAAGATTGGCAACAAATTTAACAAATCATGATGATGGGCCATGTATTCATTGTTATCAAACATGGAAACAAGGTTCTAGTGTAATGCTTTCACACATGCTCTCGGTTTAATTCTTTAGAAACACAAACGTAACTTTTTTTTTAGTGTTTATCCGCTCATAAAAACACCTCTATAATTTATTATTCTTCATTTCAAAAGAGCAGGCTTTAATGCAGAAATGACAATCCACTTAACTAGAAATTGACAGAAAATTGTACCTTGTGGATAGTGACTCGGTACACATTTGTGTCGTCCACGAACCAGATGATCTGATTGGAGAAGAGCTCTCCGTAATTCTGAGAAGACAGATACGGTTCAGTTGGCTCGGATGAGTACAGCTGGAGACCCTTACGTATTCTCTCTCTCAATACGTACAGGGCCGGATTGGCCTTCATGATTTTAGCCATGGCCTGTTGGATTAAAGGTTTACAACCAGGGAACCAGTTACCATAGCCACTGAAACACAACATAGCAAAGATTAATAGGGGACCAGTTGAATAAGTTACTTCATGAAACCAGGGAAACAATCTGCAAATGATCCTGATATCTGTTAACCAATATCTTTACCTGTGTAGATTGTAGGCCAGATCTATACCAATCAGCAGGCCTGTCGGGGACGGATAGATACTCATGTTGTCT